CTGGACCGGTAACTTTCCTCAACAAGACACCCTTAGATTTCTAGTTGAATTCCGACCGAAAACATATTCAGAACAGAACATTAAAAACATTTTAAAACCATAGAGGCTCTATTGATAAAAGTGCTGTGGTTATATTGTTTACCATAAATACTCAAATAGAAACCAAACGAATCCACAATTAATACTCTATAGTATGACTCATCCTGAAATGAATTACGTATTAACTAGTTGTTGGCAGGGTCCTTAGCTTACGTAGAATTTGGTTTGTCACATCAAGTTTGGCGACAGATGATTTTAAACAAAAAGTTACAGTATTTTTTTATCAACCCAAAACTATATACAAAAAACCTACCTGCATATTTCAAGACTTTAGGTTCAGTACCTTCGGTTGTATCTTAATATAAGAGCGGGCAACAGCTAGTAATTCATATTTTTACTTAAAATACAGTAACTGAAAAAATATGCCAACTGCACTGAGTAATGATTTCAGTCCGTGAAACGGTAAATAAAAAATCAAAACATCAAGAAACAGAACTTTTAGGGTATTTTATTTATAGTACTAGTCTGGGTACATGTTTCATTAACAGGTAACTGCCAACTTAAATAAAAGCCATTGAATGAAAAATATATTGTCAATGAAATGAATCTATAAACTATTGACAACATTATGTTTCTCCTACAAACTTTCCCAACATTCTATATAAACGTGAAACGTAATATACCTCCCGGTATATTCAGCAAAAAAATGTGATTGAAACTCGTTTAATATCTCGTTTCCAATCTGCAAATGTTGAGGCAGGTTTTGCAACAATAAGGTGCCAATATTTTTCGAACAAATATCTATCTCACAATTATGTAATTTCGTTGTCCCCCATAAAATTATTAATGAGCGAAAGCGATATATGCTTAGCCGTGGGAGTCAACACCTTGTTTGTTCTGCCCGAAATGGTCGGTTTTGGAATATAGCCCGGGAAATAAAGTTGAAAATTTCACAATGCCTTGTGGAATGAATGTATTTAATTTGAAATTGTGTTTTGAGGATGCTGAAGATGGATGAAATTGTGATTTTTTGCATATAAATGGTACCATTCTTGATCATTTCATTGCCGAACACGTGAGGTTGACTTGAAAAGTTTCAATAGTATCAAATTGAATAGAATTTGACATCTCATCTTCATATAAGTTTGTAACAATCACTGTGATAGATTGACTGAAACAAACGTACCTATATCAAGCAGTATCCCAGTACACTTTTTTCACTGTTCAAAATAGTTTTCAGTCATTTTCTAAAAGCATGTTCATGTTGTTCATAGTCTCCGTCGCTTCTTTTATAGCTACTACTGGTTCTTCTAAACATTTCTTTCACTTCCGGGTTTAACACTGTTATACTATGCTAACGTCCTCCAGATCTTTCACATAACCAACAGTGTTTTTGTTTGGATCTACAAGATAAGATCTTAATTCAATTTATTAATGTATTCATGATGATCATCTGAAACTGAATATTTCTTAAGGTTAAGTTTGTCATATCGAAAGAAAAATGTGACGAATGACTTAGCCATTACATTTTATGGGATTCCATTTAAGTGAAGTAAAGAGAACCTATCAAAGATATTACAGTCAGAGATGATTATTGAAGTTTATGTTTCAAGGACATCTGGAATTCATAATGCCTCAAGTCAACAATTGCTTTAACGCGACAAAACATTTTAAGTCAATTGGTAAAAATTGCGATATTTTTTCTACTTTGAGGAGTATGTCTAGGACAGTTCTAGCTACGTTGGGTATTGAATGATGCACTAGTTGAAGTATTCAGCTATTGGAATAACTAGATGAATCCAGGAATGCTTACCACTGTCAAAAACAAAAAAATTACTTGGAAAATTGATAATTTTCAACACTCCGATATGTTTTGAGGCTTGCAATATGAAAATGTGTTTCACAGATGCCGACCCTATTTTGCTTGTACTATTATAACTAAACAACTAAGCTTTTCCCATTTCAATTTTCCTGGACTAAACAATTTTGCCCTCGATTCGTTGTAAACAACGTATCGAAATCAACGATAACACCATTAAAAGAAAAGTACGACGTAGGAAACTATTTGTTAACTCCCATTTAACAGTTTCTCGCTGGTTTGATAACAATTTACGCTACATTCGCGATTTTTTTGCTTGCTGGTCGCAACGCGGCTTTTAGCAGACTCGCCAAAATGATTTTTCGAAATGAACGATGTAGGAAATGCAAGGAATATCGGTTACACGACGAGGTCAAGGACGAAGTTGAAAACTTACACTCGTTGAGCTGCCTTTTATGAGGTATGAGGGCATCACAAGTGGATGCTGCTTTTAATGACAAGATTGCAACGAGCATATGGGGATTTTTCCGGGGCTAGTTCATTAGTAAAAATCTGTGACATATTGATAAATGCAGACAATGTTATGTGAGGAAATTATACGACATATACCTAGTGGGTCTCAAAAAGTTCAACATACATAACCTAATTATTGCTTTATAACGTTGATGAAAAGTAATGAAAACAGAAGCAGTCAAATGACTAACATTTTTGGCAACTACTCTAAGATATATATTCAGTAGTTAACAAGAATAATGAATTGTGTATAATAATATAATACTGAAAACACCGAAATTCCATGCGTTATTTTTCTATTATTCTATTATTATCCAAAAAAAATACACTGACAAATTTAATATTCTCTCCACTGCATTTTCCATTAGTTTATCATTGAATTGGATAGGTAGGAGCGTCTACATGTTATCTATACGTTATGTCGTCCACAATCAGTTGTTGTTCCGAAAACCATTGATGCTGTGCGCGAACTGATATTGCAAGACCGTCATGTGACCTATCGTGAGATTGAGACAATCTTAGGCATTAGTGGGACCAGCATACATTCAATATTGCATAAACATTTGACTGTCAAAAAAATTTGTTCGCGTTTGATTCCACACAATTTGTCAATCGCGCACGAAGCACTTCCAAGCAAATGGTCGCCTGTTTTTTCGGAAAACTGGACATGTCGCAACGTACCACTAGAACAACGCAAAACAGTCAATTCTGAATGGTACACAACCATTTGTTTGCCAGTTGTCTCCCAAGAAATCAGGAAAATCAACCGCCGAAACACTCTTCACCACGGCAATACGAGCTCTCACACATCGGCTCAAACAACTTCATTTTTGAGCACCCAAAACATCGATTTGATGAGTCATCCGCCGTATAGTCCTGACTTGGCACCGAATGACTTCTTTTTATTCCCGCACGTAAAAAACAAACTGAGAGGTCAACGTGGCAAAAGTGCTTCGACAATTGGTTCGAACGCATGCCAAAAGTGTATATTCATGGGATATATTTCGAAAAACAATAAAGTGATTTTCGATTATTAATATTCATTTTGTTCTCTAATCCCGAAATATAAAAGGCAACCATCGTATAATTCATCGAATGAATCTATGAAACATTTATCTTCCGGTTTGGGAAGCGTAATATTTCCGACAATCCATTTTCTGTCAACATAATCAAAGGCGCCGGATTAGTCTGGATTTGTTTGTATATTCTTCGATGTCTAATTAAACTCACAGGCGGTGTGACTAAGAATTCTAACAGGTATTATTAATTCTGATCATTAACAAGGCTATATTTTACGTACAATTTCTATGAACCCGACGAATCACATTCATATGGAATGGTAATTCTTATTTATCTCAATAACAACCTACAAAATGAATGATATATTAATCATCATTTTGTTGTATAGATGAACGGACAAAGTTGGTAGACATAAAAAGGGGGGACATAATTTGACAAAACAAAATAATTTTTCGATCCCGAACAACTTCTTCGAAGCAACAATGGTCTATCTTTTAAATTAAAAAGTTTGGGTCAACTCCCACTATAGTATGTACTCCCGAAATTACTCCTAAAGGTCGCAGTAAAATATGGGTTGGAATTTTCTAACTATATCTTATTTTGTATCTGATCTAGAATATTATAAAATGTGTTAATTTTCGAGGTTACAGCTCAGACACCTATATATAACATATTCACGGGAAATTATTTAAAAAATTAATCAGCATTTTTATCAGGAAAAAGCCAAGTTTTCCCACGTCGTAGACGGTTCGATTATCTGAAATTAATGGCATTTTTCGGAATGTTAATGTCACTTGAATTTATGTGAATGAACCTTGCTCAAAACAATGTTCTAGATACTGTTCACCTTCAAAAAATGCTAATTGAAAAATGTATATTAATGTACACATATTAAAAGAAAAAAAATAACCAGACGTGTCAACTCGATTTGAATAGTTATATAACTTTGATGAAGCAAACGAACTTGTGTTAATATATAAAAAAATGTTGAAATATCTCAATCAACTGTATAAATTCGAGGAATAGACTGGCTACTTTCATTTGACTGACAACTGATGGTCAAAAATAAAATAACAGAAAAAGAAATGTTGAAATTCCTGTCGATATGAAAATTAGGATATATAAAATTGTTTCTTTCCGAAATCATCCCAAAATTCCGGCACTAACAGTGTTCGAATTAACGAAATTAGCTTGGAAATATAACAACTACTATGGCAGAGTCCAACTTTCAAAAAACGTTACAATCAAAAGTTACTGTGAAAAGCACAAAGCATTCCCTTTAATTTTTGCAAAACGGTCCTAAATTCAAATAGTCACAATACTGTAACTTATGGGTGATTAGGGCCCGCTTGTTAACCCAACAAACTGAATATTTAATTACGTATGACGATTATACTGAAAAGATCTGAAGAATTTGAGAACATCGACGATACTATATAAACATTGGCACATTCGAAAATAATCATTATTAATTCTGGCAGTAATGCACAAATGAACAAAAAACTGAAATTTTACAGTGTAAACTGAATATATTAGTTAAGTATAGTTTGATGGGACATATTTCATTATATTCTGTAAATGCTAGTCAAAAAAAGAAACATATAAACTCTCGCATAAACTTTATTGGGTGATATACAAAAAGAGGGGTTGAAAAAATGTTTTATTTTTTATATAGTACTCACTGACATGTGAATCCTGATCTACGAAATATGTCAAATTATGTACCTGAAACAAAAAAGAATTGTTAGAATCAAATATTAATTAGTCACTGGTTGATTATGGAAAACAAACGTGATCGATTGGAATTTACCAGAGGTGTAAATTGTTGAAGCAACCGGATGAAATTACCTAAAAAACGGATTGTCGTAACATTCCGTAAATAAAAACTGAAAATAGTTTCTAAAAATGTAAAGTACTGAAGAGAGATGGCGCTAGTGTGCGTTCAATAAATGACAATATCAAACACTAAACAGCTGACCATTACAGCTGAATGGGAAACATAGCTTATGTTCATTTTTGACGTTCTGTGTTTTTATTGTTCATAGACATAAATAGGTGAATGAAATAGTTATTTATGTATCAAGGGAATTAGAAGGGCCTTAATTACCGATGGCAAATTTTGTTCATTTTTGAAACGGAAAAATGTACCAATTCATTACCTTCCCGGTATATTTGAATCAGGTACCGTTGATTATAGTAGAGTTTTCTTGTTGCTAGGTTGTTGCTATGTTACTTGTTTATAAACAGAACTTTGTTATCAAGCTGTGTTTGCGGTGAAAACGTGTTTTCTACCCCATAAGCGCATGAAACTATTTATAAAAACGGCTAATATGACTTTGTTTCACTCCTCAACTTAGTTTTGATATTTCTTTAGACATCGTATTTGGACGATAACTTTCCGATTGTTTTTTTAATTAATCAAGATCCAGCAACATTCATCGACAGATTCTGTGAAAACTTTATCCAAACCCCATCAATTCAATTTTAATATTCAGGAGATGGTCCCATTATTTTTTTAAGACAAAAAACGTGGTAATACCTGAAAACGGTCGGTTCAACGGTCGATTTTGATTTTCTGCATGATCAGACCTCAGATTTGTGGGAATTCGTTAGACCTTTATATTCTCAGGTAAACCGCTGCCGCTACCTGGGACTAGTTAGGGTCGAGAACTTCCTTTTTTCAAATGTGTTAAACAAATAATTGAGAAAGGTAGAACCCAAGCGGACAAGAAACTTAATCAATTACAGGGTGTGATAATTACGTTTGGTAATTGTGGTTTTTATCGCCTCTGATGAGATCACAGCTATGGTGTGACTTCTAATCTTCAAATTATTGTACCTAACAAAATAGATTTTATATTGCAAAATATTTGTTTTCTCATGGACTTCTTCATTCAGTGTAATTTTCAGTATTCAATCTCCTAACGAACGGTGGCATTCAATGTCAAACCAGTATAATAAAGAGGCTAACATTTGTAAAAACTAAAACGAAGTGTAAAAATCCGTAATTTTTGTAATAATTAGTAGAATATAAATTAACGAAAGAATATTTGACGTATAGTAAATCGGAAAACTCAAATATAAATCCAAAACATGTTTTGATTCCATTCATTTATCGCAGACACCATCAATGTGTAAATCCCCCTCTCATTTATTCATGAATCACTATTCCCAGATATTTTAATAAAGTGTCCTTTTTTACTTTGTAGAACTTCGAAAATGACTCTGAGCCAATGAGAATGAGTAGATTTCGATTGCTGCGTTATCAGCAAACATTGTTGATCAACTATTCTTAGCATAAACATTAGCAGAACACAATAGTAGAGGCCAAAGAACAGAACCCTGGGGAACACTTGACCTGAAATCGTGTTTTTCTGAAACCGATCCCCCATTGTGGAGTATACGATCATTCGTACAAAAATTCCATCCAATGTAAAATATTTGGATATCAAAAACATTCAATTTGATCGAAGGAAACTATAGGTACAGGCAAGCGAATGTTTATGAACGATTAAACATTTCACTAATAACACTATTTTTGATAGAATGTTTTTTTTTCTGAAACCTTGACAGCAAGCTGTTGATGTTCGGGCAAATGATTATTGTGTTTAGTATTGATTCTTTATACAATTTCATCATATGTCTATAGTTATCTACAGAACAATATCTTCCTGAATAAATAGAATCATCAGATTGAGAGTAAAAAAGGGCGTTTTTCGAGTATTTCTCTCGGTTTTTTACGTATTCCAAGTAGGCCAATGCAAATAATTTTTGTAAAGAAACAAATTAATATTAGCATAAAAATTGTAGGAAAAGTAAATAATATGCTCATTACTGAGCAAATTAATTAGTCAGTCCTAGGTACGGGAAATGAAAAATCGAGTAAATTTTAGGGAAGGAAAATGGCCTTTTACGAATTTCACTGAAACTAAACCTTCTATCCAATAATGTTTAAATACTGCTTTTTGATTTTTGGAGGCCGCTGTTGATTTTAAAAAGAATATTTTCCACAAAATGGATATTTCATGATGAAAAATAAGACATTTTTCAAGTTTTACAACAAAATTGAATGTTTGACTGAATCCTTTGATGCAAGAAAAGTATATCACGATCAGAGAAAAAAAAGTAATTTAAAAAAAAATCGTGAAAAACGAATTATTTTGTGGGAGAAATAAATTAAAAAAGAAAAAAACTGCAGTTTTTCGATGTCTCCAGGAATATTCAAAAAAAATTGGTTTATACAAAAATTGCGGGTCTTAACTGTTTTCAGTAAGTTAAATTCCAGTGAAAATTTCGAAAAACCATTTTCCATCCCCAAAATTCACCCACTTTCCTCCCCAGTGCCTTAGATAGACTTTTTTTTGTTATGAGCACAATATCCTCCACCATCCCTAACAAGTGTTATACTGTTATTATTATTTTTCAATTTCTGCCTTTCTAACACTCGTCTTACTTAAATGAAGTGGAAAATTTTGAAGCAAATACTGTATTTTCTAGTAGGAGAAATGCTTAGTTAATCTCCTTTCGCCCTCCTTCGATTTGCACTCATGACGTCACCAGGGTCGTCGGTTCCACCCCAGTGTACTCCCGATGCCCGTGCATGCCTGTCTCGCACGCACTAGGATGTTTTTGGATAATTGCTCATCGGTTGGTTCTATTGTTTCGAATCAAAGAAATCAGCCGACTGTATAACAAATCCCATCATCCGGAGAAAGGCAGTCGCGGGAGTAAACATGCTAATCGGGCTGCCCCTTCCATGACGTGTTCGCGTTTACTGCGTTACCCCCACTCCGCCGCGATTGTCACGTTGCCTCGAGGACATTGGCTTAGTGAATAAACTCGCAGCCTTGGATCTTGGTAAGGTCAAGGCTAGAAGCGTTACGCTTTTCGAGAGATTTAAATACTATCTACTAATAGAAAAACTAGTTACGTTTAATGATGTTTGATTTGGAGGAAAGTTCTGACGCGATTGACCGGAAATGCAACGGAGATAGTGAGCTACGAGGGAATCGTTTAGTTTTTTTTTCTTCTCTCACACTTCACAATCTCGTGTCAAGCGTAGGAAACAATAAATTGCATAGACACTTTTTTTCATTTGAAATATTTGCACAATAAAAGCACAAGAAATTTGAACAACTCCTTTGTTTCTGTAGTTAATTGTCAAACAGATGTTTTAGTGCCTTAAAATTTACAACAGAGAATAGTTTTTCAAATCGCATTTAGGTTCTTCCATTACTTAGGTATTGTGGGATTATGTATAATTGATTTAAATCAATAAACGAAATGGACTCGTACAATTAAACATTACAAATGTTTCTATTCAACTATTTTAAAAAACACCAATAAAATAATATTTCCTGTATATGATTTTTGAACTGACTCAAGACTATCGATTAGGACTTATTATAAAGCTCGTTTGGAGAAAAAGACTCGATAAATTATAAGTAATGTAAAGTAAGTAATTTTGGGAAATTTTTTGCCAACCAATTCCCAATTGTCATCATTAAATTCAGATCACGTTTTTCCAGCAACCCATTGAAAAACTTACTATTATTCACAAAGGCGGTGATCAAGAGAATCCTTCGAACTATCGCCCAATTTCTCTCATTCCGTCGTTAGCAAAAATTATTGAAAAACCGAACATTTGAACTTCGGTAATATAATAAGCTACTAACAATTTGGATTTCAGTCAAATAAAAATACTCATGATGCCATATTTTCATTTTTATATGAAGTGTTAGTAGCATTTATAGACGAGAGATCACAGCAGCAGTCTTTTGCGATTTCTCTAAAGCATTTGACTGTGTTAATCATATTACTCATAAATGGTTTGCATCTTATCTATCGGGTAGAAGTTAAAGGATTGAATATACAGCAGTATCTGATGTTTCTGACATATGTAACGGAGTACCACAAGGCTCAGTACTGGGACCTATCCTATTTCTACTCTATATCAACGACTTGACTACCATAAATGTAGAGGGTAAATTTACTCTATATGCCGACGACACTACAATTAGCTTTCAATGTCTCAAAACCAAAACCAAAGTTTTATCCTTTAATTGCATTCTTGATAATATTCCTCTAGCTTCGAATTCGAATGTGATTGAGAATACGTCATGCAACAAATTTCTTGGTGAGGTAATGATTCTGTCATATATGTTTGCAAATTTATTGTGGCAATACATTATGACCACATTTATACGAAGGATTTTGAACAACCTATGTTACCAAAACCAATGTAAATGCCTATGTAAACACAATTTTTTTGAATACGTTGATCAGTTTCTTGGTGAAAATCAATAACACATGATAATAATTACAAATTTTCACGATATAGTCAGATATACCTATATAGGTCCAATACGCATTTTACTACAACATTAGTTTTTATCAGTTGGAATGGTATTGAGCCAGTAGAACTGCTAAACCTTATGAAATGATTTGTATTTTTTCATCTGTAATTGAGGTAATTGAGTGTTTTAAAAGTTTCCTAGAGTGTCAGACATTTTCAAATTGTATAATTCAACACAAAAACTAGATGTCTGGAAGAAAAATGAAATCTAAATGCTTATTTCACACAATAAATAAACCAAATGTGCACTAAAAGTATCAAGATGAAAGTTAAAAATAAAAACAACAATAAAAATTAATTAGCTTTTCGGGGCGCAGTGGCGCATTTGCTTTTTCAGCTGCAGGAAAGTTTATGATCGATGTAGAAATTT